TTTTTTTTTTTTTTTTTTTTTTTTACATGAAAGGTACAGCCCTCAATGAATGCATGTTAACGGAGAATGTTTGGAGATTTGGGGCATGTCTGAATTTCCCAAGTTTTGTATTTCCCCTCCTTGGTCCCAGGATCAGTCACTACATTCAGGTACTGACACCTCCAATCACAGGGCATCTCTCAAATGAACAGGTGATTGACAATGATCTGATGTTGCCTAGTTTTGAACGTGGAAACCAACTATTGCTCCCTGTTACCTCCCCATGTCCACTCTGATCTTAAGTCTTCCTAGCAGTTTTAGACAATGTCAGCAAAATCTAACATAATAGAAGAAAGATTCCAAATGATAGCTTTGAAATAGAAATTCAAAGTGCATCTCAAGTCACTAAATCCTAAGTGTCCTTCCTGGATGAGACCACTAATCGGGGCATCATCACTATGGTACTTGAGCAGTCACTGGCTGTGTACATATAAGACACTGATATACTCACTTTCAACACATAATGTACCAAACATTTTATCAAGGGATGAACTTCTACTAGAAATGAAGGAAAATATACTTTGTCATTCCTAAATTAAAAGAAGCCTACAGACTTCCTACGGTCACTATTGCTGATAACCTCCCACTTCCATGCCATCCATCTTTCCATCCATCTATCTCAGGTGTGTATATTACAGGCCTGTACAGAGCACGGCCTGTAAACAGCCTTTGTTTTCTACTGCCCTCATCAGGACTCCCTCTACTACTCCTAAGCTTCTAGAATTTTCTTTTGAAATTGAGACTTTTTTTATGGAGCAATTTGGGAGAAATTGAACACAAGTCCAAAAACATGACTGTATTACAGAGCTATTTATCAGCGCGTGGAAGGGAATTTACGATCTCCAACCCCTTATAACATCAGAGCAGGGAAACAGACAGTGGATGGGATTGCATGTATGTTGCTGGGCCCTGTCCATCAGCCTTTGAAAATTCACATGAAGAGAACAGAAAGCTTTCAAAACTTTTGAGCTAAAATAGAAGTTATTTAGCATTTTAGCCGAACAATTTGAAATCTTCATATCTGCTGACACAATTCCCTTTACTAACTGTATAAGCACTTGTTTTTAGAAACAAAAATAAGTAAAAATTAGTTCCAACAATGTAGTCTCACCTAGATATCATAGAACAAGTTCATCACAACTCAAGAGCAATGTTTTTAAAAACGCATTCTGACATGAATAAATGATACATCAGTCATTATGGAATAATCTCAACGTTAAAAAAAATAAATAAAATAAAACCCTCCAAAGACTCTGCAAGAGCTTCTGTATACTCTGAGTCGAGCTTGCTCTGTGGTTGCCAGTGTCTAACAGTAAACAGCCCCACTGCATTTATTGGCAATTACTGCTGAAGGTCACACATCAGCAGTGAGCCTAAATTCCAGGAAAAAAAGCAGCTCTTATGTAACTGCCGCCTGAATGTTGGCAGGTGCCCAACCCAGCAGTTCAAAGCAATGTAAAAAAGTAGGACATCTCCACCCTACGTTAGGCGTCATGAGAACGCCCCCTGAAGGTGAAATGTAATCATTCTTGTGTTTCTTTTTTCCCCGAGTTTTATGCAGTAACCTGTCAGTGGCATCTTCTGCCTGTATGGAAGCTCAAAGTGGGAGAAGTTGAGACTCAACACAGGCAGGCCGCAGCTGCCTGAAAAACTGGCAATGTCAGTCTGGCTTTTTTGGTGCAATGCAGGATGGCAAATTTGCTAGCTGACACCAGGGGCTCTGGAGGTTCCCTGGTTCCAGTGACAGTGATTCAATGGGGATCATATCTCAAATACGTAGAAATGGACACATCCACTGAGCTACAGCACACACTTTGTAAACACACCAATCCTTTCCAAAGACCCATATATGAAAACGAGATGGACCACTGTTCTGCTCACCACCTCTGCCTGAAGTTTGGTATCTCATCAGAATCATGGCACTTTATGGTTTAGAAAAGCGACATGATCACTACTCACCTGTTGTCACCTGACTCCCACTGCTTAGGCAGAAGTCCCTAGAGTACATGTTCTCATGCCCCATGTATTTCTCCTTGCTAACATTTCTCATGGTTGATAGCTGTCATTTTACATGAATTTGTATGTATCATTTTTCATCTGTCCCTCAAAACTATAAACTCCAGAATGACACACACTAGTGCCTGTTTGGGTCACCACTGTATCCAAATCCCCCACCACCTTGCCTGGAATATAACAGGCACTTGAAAATTAGTCATATAAATAAACGTCTTTAACATCATCCAGTGTCTGTTTAAAGCCAAGAATGGGTAGATGAGGGTACTTTCTGGGGTGATGGAAACATTCGATATCTTGATTTGGGTGGTGCATACGGATGTAACAATTCATCAAACTACACACTTAATGTGCCAGGGAGATGGGGGACGCTGATGCAAACAGTTTCCTTTTCTCCTCCACCTTATCTGTCCCCCAACCCCTGATGGAAAAGGTAAAATTGGGGGGTAACAATAGAGACTGCCTCTTTATCTGCCAAAAACAAAAATAAAAACCAAAAGCCCTCTTCTTGGTTTCAAAGGAAATTTGATTCTAGAAGACGGCTGGGCAGGCCCCACACCATGCACTTTCCTTGCAGGGAGTCTCTGACTCTGTCCTCGTTTCACCCTGTCCTCTCAGAGCACTGACGGGGACTCAGGCGTTGTGTTTTGTTCAGTCGTTCACTGCACATCTCTCCTGAGATGCCCAGCTGGCCTTTATCATCAAAGGGTAGTAGCCCTTGCTTGATCAGGGGATCATGGGTCCCAGACAGGCCTTATACTATCTTGGGGGCTATTTCCCACCCTGGTTAGAATCTGGGACATCGGCTTGCAGGTTAGGTGTGAGGCCTCGCCCCAGTCCTGGGCTGGCATAAACTATTATTAATCTCCTGCAGAATTCCAGCTGTGGGCTGCAGGTTTTCAGGATCACACACTGGCAGAGGGCTGGTGGCGGAGAAACCACAGAAGCCATAGCAGTTTCCAGAATATCATCAATGATAAAGGCCTATCAGACATCTCTGCTTATAGGGCCAGATCCAACAGCCTGAAGGACTGGGGACAGGGTGTTGGTGTCCCTGGGCTCTGATGGTTGCCAAGGGTAACAACGCAGAAGGGATCCACAGTTGCTTCCTCAGGGAATTTTCAAAGAATCCAAGTGGCTGCCAGAACATTCTTCCTTTATAAACAGACAGTATTCTATTTCCTAGAGTATAATTATAAACACACCTGCTCCAACTGTGGAATCTTTCCATAAGCGAGCAATAAACTCCCAGCCAGGAGACCCAAGTTCTATCTTGAGCAAGCAAACACATCAACTGATTACTATGGTGCAAAACAGTATATTAATAACACCACACACTCCGATTAGGGAAAGTTTTCCCTTCCCGACTTAACTTGTACTTAAGCAAACAGAAAATCAACCTCAATATTTCAGAGGAAAAATTTAAATCAGCAAGGCATTTACAACTCTAGGTAATAACAAGAGTATTGAGGAGTGTCAGCATGCAAATTCAGCATAGGATATTTTTCTAGCATACAAATACCTGGAAGAGGGAAAGCTAAACAGGAAATGGCAAAAATCTCTGTAGGTAAAGCAATTAATTAAGCTGCTGCATCCCCTTTTGTTTTTCTCACCTTCTCATTGTCCCAGAAGGCACAGCCTCCTCACCTGTTCACATCTGATTAACATGAGGAAAAGTCTGTGCTTACAGAATCTACTGTGGTAGAACAGTAAGGAGCCGAGCCAGCTACAGGCTAGGACTAGTTCAGCTCCTCTTCTAGCTGTGTGAACTAAGGCCAGTCATTTAACCTCTCTGAGCGCCATTCCTGAGGCAACCGGACCAAACAGAATCACCCATGTTGCTTTCAGTTTTACATTTGCAATTCAAATCCTCCTTAGGTGCATCTGAACCATTCCTTAGTATGTCTGAAATTATGGCATATTAATCAGAGTAGACTTTATAGCAAACAACATGTCCTAGTTGGTAGCTCTATCTCAAAATAAGGCATTAGTTGGCCTACCAACTATTTGGAACAGATATCCAAAGCAGACCAGAAAAATGATTTCAAAAAGTCAAATAAAATTTTACTACAAATGATTTCAAAAAGTCAAATAAAATTTTACTACCATGTGCTCAATTATACCCTCTTGATTATATACATTAATTCTCCAAATCAATTTTTTCTGGTACCATTTACCTAGAATATATTGCAGCCTAAAAATATGGCAAGGAATGTTGAAAAATATGCACAAAACAAAAAATATTTAAGAGGCCTTAAATCCCAAACAAAATGACTACTCCTCAGTCTCCACAATAATTCTGGGTAAATGAAACTAATTTGATACCTAAGTACAGAACCTATTGGATGACATTTCAATTTCTGGATCTACAGGAAGATTTCCTAAAAGAGAAACCATGGATATAGGACATTCCTAATCCTGTAGTGAGCCTGCAGCTGGAAAGTCTCAAACAGCAGTTTGAAATTCACACTGCGCTTTGAAAAATTTTATATGACCCCTCACACTCAATACTTTTCAACACATAGACCAAAAGAGTAGTGGGGTTTTTCTTTTACTACTTTCAAACTATACCAATGCAATCGTATCTTTTTGCATCAGATGCTTTATATACAGATAGAAAAGCTGTGTCAACACCAAAATTGAGTTTTAGAGATAAGTTAATGGCCAATGTCAACCACAAATTCAGTTGAGAGTCTAGACAGTGAATGACTGAAATCTTATCACAGTTCAGAAAATCTTCATCTAGACTCAGATGGGATCTCTGAGGATGAATGGCAAACAAACTCATGGGAAATGTGAACACAGACACGAGGGGCTCCACTCAGTTCCAGAAGGCACACTCCACACAGTCAGATAGCAGACACTGAGGACAGGTCACAGCACTCATGGGAAAAGTGTCATGGAAACAGTACCATGGGACATTTAAAAAAAAAAAAAAAAGACAACCAAACAACAAAATTAGGACCTCTGCATTATCCAATTCATCAATGGAAATTAGCTGGAAAAGAAAAAAGGGGGGAGAGAAAGAAGGAAACGTTAGGAAAGGCAATACAAGCCAAATACATGTTAGAAACTTCGCAAATGTACTGTTACTGCTGACTCCTCCACTTTAAAGCATTGTTAGCTGTGGCCCTCTTAAGTGGTTGTGGCATTCTGAACATGGCCACAGCTCACAGTGGCATTTGCTCTGGAAGAAAATGGGCAGGATGCTGCCACACTTTATCCACACACCAGGCACCAAACCTCATGGGTCACTTATCTAAGTATCACAGAACCTTGTGCTTGCTTGCAGACATGAGAACGGAACTGAGCCAGGAGTGAGGGCAAATTCCCCAATGTTTTCTTAGAAGAGGGTGGGAAAGAGCAAAGCAAAAGATGAGAGGAGGATGAACTCAGCTTAGGAGAAAATTCCTTCTATAGATTCATTTTATGATTCCATAGGGGTCAGGAGCCCAAACTGCAGTTGGGCTGGACAGAACCAGCTTTAACGTCAGCAGGAAATAAGACCAACATATCCCAAGGCTGGGAATGTTGGTGATTAAAGAAAGCAACATTTCCCCTAGGATGATGAGTGCCGACTCAAGTGATATTAGTAACACGGGATGTAAAAACAAAACACAAGAGAATTATCACAATTATGTTTGTTTAAGGATAGAGGGTTGATCCTCAGCTGATTTTTATTATGCTTCGTTAATATTTAGTACATTTTGCAAATTTAAGTTCCTGTTAGAAACACAGATAGCCAGAAATGCTAATCCTTTAATTCACCTAGGGCAAAGTGGCTTTGGTAATTAACAGGGGACTGACAATTTGTATGAAATGAAAACCCAGACATTACCTGAGGTTAAATACTCTCTAGTACTAAAACAGCTACTACTATTCAGAAGGGAAAATGGATTTTAAATAAATTCTGAGATACCCTTTTACATTTGTTCCTGGCCTCTGAATTTCTTTCCAGAGCTCTTTGACTAATAACTTAAGTCAACAGCAGCTTAATAAAAAAACCTACAGTAAACTACAGAGTAGCCAATACATAAAATAACTATGCTCCTTTTTCAAGCAGGGTGCAGAGGCTTGAAGATTTTCTATGAGTTACAGAGAGATTCTGATTAAATTTTAGAGATATTTAGCTATGGAAGGTTATTTTTTAAAAAAACAAGGACACGATTTAAGCTGTAGATTAAAACCAGTGTTTACTAGGCATTGCACACACAAAGTCCTGATATAATTTTTAAGTTTATTAACTTTGAATCCATAGGATAGAAAGACACTAAAAGTATCATACAAAAAATGTGTTTTAGTGATCATTTACATTATTTATATTTTCCACTCTCTGAGAAGACTATGCATTGCTGCCCCTTTGCAACATCGAGTCATTATAGTTAAAAGTGGTCATGACTAAAACCTAATTTTATGACTGTCTTCTCCAACCAGCCCTGAAATATTTCATCATATGTGATCATTCTTAGACGGGCACTTTTGGGGGCATTGGACCAAGACAAGTGAACCAATGACTTGCTACTCACTAATCTAACTCTTTCATATGGGACCTGATCAAAACTAAAGGTTTTGGATGACCATGGGACAATCACAATTTGTACAGTCACTAAGTATCAATTGGAGACTGTCTTCAACTGGGTAAAAAAAAAAAAAAAATCAGACCTTAGCTGAACCGGCGATATTTAAGTTCACTACATCTAGTGCTGTTAGGGCCACTACCTGCCCCATGTCATTTACATAATTGTGTATCATAATGGAAACAAATGTTAAACCTGCAGGTTCACTTCAAAACACTCAAATAGTGTCAATCTGTTCACTTATGACACAGTGGTAAAGAGCTAGGACTCTGGAATCAGACTGTGTGTCTGGGTTTGAATTCCTGGCTCCTTTGTTATTAGCGGTGTGACCCTAGGCAAGTGTTTGAATTTCTCTGAGCTAATGTTTTCTTCCTCATGTAAAATAGTTCATAACAGTAGTGATATCTATCTCTGTGACTGATCTCAGATAAGATAGGAGATGTGCTTAGTACAGCAGCTGGCATATAATAAGAGGTCAATAAATATTAATCACTGTTATTTAAGATATACTCTGGGAAATTACTCAGTATATATAACATTTAAAAAGTGTAAGTCAGTCTTACAGTGATTCTGTTGTGTTTTAGTCTGTCTGGTAACATGGGTGACAGTTCTTGATGGTCTTTTTATTCAGGCAAGTAGACCATCTAAGCACACCAACATGAACCAGATATTAAAGAATGATTCAACTTTCTCTTTCATCTGTGACCTTGACTAAATCCCAAAGTTGCATGAAAATGTAGAGATAGATAAAGGCACTTAAGTTTCATCATCTTTAAGGATTATACCTTAGGAAAAAAAAAAAAAAGGAGAGAGAAGAAAACATGGCCCATACACCATGGACACCACCTGGGGAGGCTGGAAAAGACACTGCAGTGGGATGTGAGAAACCCAGACTCCAGTCTTGATCCTGCTACGTACTTTCCATGTGACCTTGGGCAGTCGCTGTAGCTCTCAGCTCCAGCCTCCTCGTGTGCAGAGGGAGGGTTGGGTGAGGCGTGCCAGAGGCCCCTCCAGATCAGATTTGACATTGTGCAGATTCAGGACAGGGCAGGGAAGCAGAAGAATTTTGCATATCCCCAGGAAGGTGTTAGTCATGGAACAAGTCCCACGTAAGAGGCGACTAATAGGAAAACTGAGATGGGAGGAGGAAAACAGCCTCAGCACTCGCCCTGGTGTCCTCGGCACCCGGGCCAAAGAATACCTCATTTATTGTATTGGCTAAAGCCAACTGGTTTGCCTGAGAAAGGTTAGTTCTCTGGCTGTCTGCGTACTTTATTCTTTTCTTTTTCTTATCCAAGGACTCTCACTCATAAAGTTGCTCTAATGTTAATGAGCGCTATCACTTAGGTTAGAAAGCAAGATTCCTGAAGACTTTTATACTTGTAATGCTCTGACTGTCACCATCCATTTGGACAAGGCAGGCTGTGATTTGATTATCAAGGCTTCCTTCGAGAGCTGAAAAAATGAAGTGGTGAGTATTTTTCATAAGTCACTGATATCAGTGTATTTATTCAGAAATTTTTGCTACAATGGCCAGCAGACAATTAGTGAATGTTATCACCTTCAAATGAAAACTGGTGAAGTTTCAACTTATACCCATGATTTTTTTGCTGGAGCTGGAAGAAGGCACAGGGGGACTGTTTCTGTCCCACTTTGCCCAACACCCAAGGTGGGAGGAATGGTCTGGGCATGTCCTTGCTCACGGCACATACTAAGAAGTATCAGGTTGTGGGAACGGTCCATTCCACAATGTCAATCAGAAATGGTGACGTTTCCCTGACTTAATTCCAGTTAGAACTGCAGGGAGTGCCTTGAAGTACTGGAAGGATTGATAACATCTCACCAGAAAGCAGGTAAACCGTAGGTATGTTTCACTGGAACCCCAAACTCAGGAATGCATACTTTGATACACAAGAGGCACTGATTAACTTCTCGCTGGGAATTTAAATGGATGAAAAATCACGTTATCCGTAGGTATGTTTCACTGGAACCCCAAACTCAGGAATGCATACTTTGATACACAAGAGGCATTGATTAACTTCTCGCTGGGAATTTAAATGGATGAAAAATCACGTCACTAGTACTTCTCCAACATTAGATTATGTGGCAATCAGCCCGTAGGAGACAGCTAAGTCTATCTGACTTTTAAAGGAGACAGTCATACGATCTAGCTACTGCTAGGGACAGGATAAACAGCTTTAAAAAATGTTAGCTCCTTAGTAATGCCTGAACTGAGGTGGATTTCTAAAGAACCCCCCACCCGCACTTTCATTTAGTAGTCAGACATGGTTTTAACATGAAAATAAAAAGCAGTACCTTTTCTCCATAGCCTCTATCTTTGGTCATCATTTCCCTGAGGGTCTGCAGGACTTTAATGCAGAGTTTCTCCTCATTCTCCTCTAACAGCTGTTTAGTGTGCTTTATTAACCTAAATGGGGGGAAAACCATGGATTATGTCCCTGAAACTACCTTTAAATTAAAAACACGTCACAAGCAACTTATTGTAACTAGTCAGTTAATAAACAATATTTATTGAGGGCTCCCAGGTGATACACTCCAGGGCATTCACTGCGCGAACAGCCAGTCAGCAACCGTGTCTCGATAGCACCACCTGCTGGTCGGTAACAGCAAACAGGCTCTGGGACAGGAGTGGGCCCATACAATGGAGAGATTATATGGAGACACGAAACTAGACAGAGGTCCACTCAAACCTGCTCGTTTAGAAAGTGTGCTATTTATCCACGGAGGATTGCCAGTAAAATGGCTAAAATACGCCAATAGTGCGAGAAAACCTCATGAGGCCAATGGCTGGGACAAACACACACTGTTCCCTTATCCACAGTCTTGTCTGTAGAGGGGCCCAGAAAAGTAAGAAACTTATAGGTAGAGCCCACCCCTGAGCTAAACAAACAACTAACCTTAGGATGGAAATCAAAGTTTTTTTTCAGATTATGCCCCAAGGCATAAATTAAGAAACTACAAAATTGTTAGGAAAAGATCATGAGGTCATGATAGGTCCAGGATTTTTGAGGGTGGAAGGCTCATGACTTTATGTCTGCACCACAGCACATGGTAGATACTCTGCAAACACTTGTTGAATGGAAAACAAATGAACAAGCATGCAGTTAAAATGAAAAATTCTCACCAAAAAGAAAAAAACAAAGAAAAGAAAAAACAAAACAGTGTCAGTTAAGTAGGATTTAATTGACAAACTTACTTTGGGAAGGTCAGAACAGGGCTTTAGCACATGACCTTGCATTCATCAAAGTTAAAAACCAGGACAACGTCTCCTTCTTCAGGAACAAATGCTTTGTCTGGTCATCAGGGTTCTGGCAACTGACCACCCCAGAGAGAGAGGCCGCTTACTTGCAAATGAAACCGCCACTTTCACATTTTCTTCTGGCATCTGTGTTCTCTGGGAAAAGCAGCTCAGGTCTGTGAAGAACATCCACCAGCACAGATAACTCTGCCTGTACCAGGGGCCGGAGACGGTCCTCCAGCGCTGAGACGATGTCCTGGAACGGAAGCACAGCCTTGGTCGACAGCTCAGGCGGAGGCTGACTACAGGAGGGTAAGAACACTGATTTCTGCCCTAAAACCTGATGCACAGGCTACGCTAGCTTAGAGGAACTTTAGTACTGTCTGGCATTTATCTCAAATGATTAGACACTGACCAGTGGTTACCTGAAGCATTAGGCCCTGATGCAGAAAACAAAGGAAAAACAAGTCAACATTCCCACCACCCCTTCTTTTAAGATGGCCTTATGCTACTCAAGGGATCATTCCATATATTTGAAAATATAACGCAAAACATACATTTAACAACATGGAAAGATGTCTACAATATGAGTGTAAAAATGGTCAAACAATAGCATGGACTCTGTGATCCTATTTTTACAGATATCAATATCTAAAGGATCAACACGAAATATTATTAAAACCTCACTACTGATTTTCTCTGGGTGGTGGGATTACAGGCGATTCTAAATTTCTTCTATATATCAGTATTTCTCAGTGTTGTCTAATTATTTTCAATGAGCATGAATTATTCACACAATAAAAAGTCATATAAACATGAGAACACAAATGAATGAACATGCTGTATCAACATGCTAAATACATGTACCCTGATAGCATGATGGTCTTCAAATGCAAAACACATAGCTGTAGGAAAGGAAAACAGAGAGAAGTTGAAAGAGCAGCAAAACTAACACAACAAACACCATTTAAAGGCAAATGATAGAAAACAGATGAGAAATTATCTTCAAAAGATGCCAAATCCTGCTCTATGGCTTGGTGACTTAGAAACTTACAAGAGGCATGCTGTCTAGGTCAGGGGCAGAACACAGCACATTGGATAATACAGGAGGGCCTCCTTAACCAAGGACATATGCATAGGAAAAGCATTCACCTCTACTGGGGACCCAATGGGGTCAAGAAAGAATTGATCTCTTGTCCAGAGACTACAACTAAACGACATGAAGATAATTTTATCCTATTTTTAACAAAATATGGGTGATAACTATAATCACTCAAAAAATGTTTAGGATGCATAAAGAATACATGAATGAATCAAATTATTTCTTTTGGGGAGCACTGTTCCCAACTACATTGTAAGATAGTACCTTGCAACATCCCAATAATTTCTAATGACCAATCACAGCACAATCCACAACAGAGTCATTTTTGCAAAATTCTCTGAGGGTCTCATCAATTTCCTCAATAATTTCCCCTTTAGAAGTACCCTGTCAATTTCTTCTTCTTCAATAGTTACTGGTCCTAACTGGCAAATCTTTGTCTACAGCATTTGCATGGTATTGAAGTAGTTCTTTAACATCACATTCATGTACTTCATGAAATCCTACATCTTTTGCAAAGCTGGAGCTTTACATGGCAATTGATTTTCACTGCATTGTCAAATATATACCATTTTCAATAGTTACTGGTCCTAACTGGCAAATCTTTGTCTACAGCATTTGCATGGTATTGAAGTATTTCTTTAACATCACATTCATGTACTTCATGAAATCCTGCATCTTTTGCAAAGCTGGAGCTTTACATGGCAATTGATTTTCACTGCATTGTCAAATATATACCATTCGGCAATCAGGAAGAGACCAGCAAAGACGGTGAAGTAATGGGAAGGGAAAGACACCAGTGTTAAGGGAGAAGATGTCTAAATGGGGATTAATTATAGTGGTCAGTTTGCGAGTGAATGTTCTTATATTAAGACAGCAATGTCATAATTACAGGGACTCAGGCACTAAATAATTGAATAACGAGGATCCCTTAAGCCATTGGCCAAGTATTTATAACAGGCATCACCTACTTACATATTATATTTCATTCCCCAAGAACATGCATGATAAATCTAAGAAGAGTACAAGAAACTGGTGTGTTTGCAGGTAACATATTCAGTTTGAACAGGCAAGAAAATACTGTGTGTTCACAGAGTAATGAGTCTATAATATCATTCCCCTTTCTAAAAGCGCAGTGGGGTCAGGAAGCACTCCATTAGGAACCAAGTTGCTATTGTGTGGTTCTGTTATGATAAAGCCTGAAATTCTTACCTTGACCCGGGAAGCCCTGCCAACCTGCCCAGCTCCCTGGGCTGCAGCCACACTAACCTTTCTGTGGCCTTTGAATGCACCATATTCTTTTCTGTGTAATGGTCTCTGCACAGGCTATTACCCTCTCTCCCATTCTTTACATCCTACTGCTCCTTCTGATCTTGGTTCAAATGTTACTTCTTCAGCAAAGTCTTCCTTGACCCCTAGTTCCAGGCAAAATTAGGTTCCTTATCAGAGTTTTTCAAGCACTACTCACTTCTCCTCTACAACATTCATCCCTCTTGCCATTCCATGTTTTCTGTGTGGTCAGCTAATTAATATCTGTCTCCCTTCTAAAACTTGAACTAATTTGTCCTTAGGTAAGTTGTGTAACCTCACAGAGACTCGGTTACTTCACCTAATGTCAGTGATTAGTATTATACTCACAGCAGTAAAAGCAATAGTGGTAACAATGATAACAGCAGCTCTTAATGGAGCACTCACTACATTCCAGAACTGTCCTATGTGCTTAATGTGTATTGTATTTTTCAAAGATGGCCATCACAATATATCCTATCTCTCACATTCTTCCTACAATGTGACGCTGACATCCCTCCCATTGAATGGTGGTCTACATTCCCTCCCCTTGAGTGGTGGTCTATATTCCTTCCCATTGAACAGTGGTCTATATTCCCTTCCTTTGAATTTGAGTGGACCTTTGAGACTGCTCTGACCAACACAGTACAACAGAAGTGATGCTATGTGACTTCTGAAGCTAGATCATGAAGGCAAGGCAGCTTTCACTTGTCTCTCTCTCAAGATGCTCATCCTGGGACCACGATGTGAGGAAGCTCAGGCCACATGGGGAGGTTACAACATGTAGATAGATACGTCAGTCAGTAACTCCAGCTAAGGTCCCTGCTGACAACCAGCATCAACTGCCAAACATGTGTGCGGGCAAGGTTGCAGGGTGAGTCCAACCACAGCCACCAGCAGACTGCAATCTCACCAGACACCCCAAGCAAGAAGCACCTTGCTGAGCTCAGTCAATCCACAGGACAGTAAAAGAGAATAAAGTAACTGTTGCTGTGATTTGTTCCACAGGACATGAATAACTGGGACGTGTTATCAACATTTAATCCACACATCAACCCCATGAGGTAGGTGTTACTATTATCCTCTTTTACAAATTGGGAAACTGACGCACAGAGAAATAAAGTAACGTTCCCAAGGTTACACCATTTCTACACAGCAGAGGCAGGATTTGAACCCAGGCACTGCCTGAGACTCTTAACCACTGTGCTATGCTCATGTCCAGGATCCGAGAGTCACCTGAAGTGCTTGCTAAAAAAAAGATATTCGTGTTAATATGTATGTCTCAGTGTTTAACTTCTATCTAATACTTGCTACTGTCCCCTTGAACAGAGTAGATCTCCTGGTATGTACTGAGTAGAAAAGAGTATAATCTAGCCAGAACTGAATAACACTTTTGTTTTCATTTGGCCCACTGTAATATAAAACTCTTTTCTCAGTATCACGACACCTGTGTACTTCCTAATTCAAGGCTAAGTACCCCAGCATGAATAACACTTTTGTTTTCATTTGGCCCACTGTAATATAAAACTCTTTTCTCAGTATCACGATACCTGTGTACTTCCTAATTCAAGGCTAAGTACCCCAGCACGATGGAAGGAATGAGGACTTTATTCCCTTATTCTAAGCATCTTGTAATATTGAAACATTGTTTCCTAGTAAAAGCAGAGTCCCCATTCTTCACAGAGAAATCTATAAATCTATTAATAACCTTTAAAGACCATGCTGTTGTCAGGAGCTTTCCTATTCCCAACTAGCCTCGTTCTCCGATCCTACGTACACTGTAGCATTTGACTGTTCATCCGCGACACACACTGACATCTCCCCACGGCCAAGCTGGACACTCTCTGGCTCCAGGAAGCACGGCTGCGAGTGCAAACCACCATCGGCCAGGGTAAGCACTACTCCTCTCAGCACCAGGCATTACCTGCAATCTCTCAATGATATTCCGGTAGTCTCTGGAAGCTGCCAGAACAGAGTCTCTGCGAGCAGCATTGCGGGCCGACAGCCGCCAGTTCATGGCTGTTTTCTGCACAATGTTGTGAGACTTCAGAAAGAGATTGTTGACTTGGCTGTCCAGGTCCACAGGAATGGCAATGGCCCGGCTCTTGGCTGCACAGGGGAAAGACGACTCGTGAGCCTACAGCTTTTCTGGGACAGGCCCTAAAGATGGACTCGGCTTCCCACCACCATCAGGCAGATTTCCCACGGTCGTCATGTGGTACTGAGTGTGAACACTGAGGAGCTCAACTCAACTTGACCATCCTTTAGGTGAGGGTTTCCCAATGCGAATTCTGGCGGACAGTAGCTCTGTGGCAGGTTATAAAATTTGGGCAAGTTGGTGTAAAAGTTCATTGGGTTTGCTCTATGAATGGCTTCTTAGGGCCACTGATGTGTTCATGTATTTTAAGAATGATCAAGACAAGGAACTCTTTTGGCCAATGCACTGTTTTCCTAAAAATTCTCTCTCAAGTTTGTTCTGTTCAACAGTCTACAAAAAAATACTGACTTACGCCAAACATAATATAAAAGATAGCATTTAATGACACAAGCTATTCTTTCTATACAAACTCTTCTTTCTCCCTCTTACAAAAGGATAACTCCAATTTAATCACGACAAAAACATGAGTCATACCCACAACGGGGGACATTCTATAGGACACCTGACAAGTACTTCTCAAAACTGTCAAGATCGTGAGAATCAAGGAAAGACTAAGAAACTGTCATAGAACAGAGAAGCTGAGGAGACAGGACAACTCGATGCACTGGGGCTGCCTGGATTGCATCCTGGAACAGAAAATGTACATAAGTAGAAAAAGTGGTGAAATCCAAATCAAGTCTGGAGTTAGGTAACAGCCCTGTGCCAGTGTTAGTTTCTTAGTTTTGACAAAGGTGCCCTGGTAATGTAAGATGCTTACAACAGGGAAGCTGGGCAAAGGTCCATGGCAACTCTATTATCTTTGCAACTTTCCTATAAATCTAAAATTATTCCAAACTAAACTATTTTTAAAAGGAACATAACTAAAACTAATCATCTTTTTTTCCCTAAGGGAAAACCTCCAAAACACAAGTATTTCCTGTCTTCAATGCATAAAACACTAGAAGCAAAGGTGCTTTACTGCCTGTATCTGATTGTAAAAACAACTCCTGCATCCCCAAAGAGGAATCTGAGGGGCAATCGTTTAAATCCCAATTTAAGAAAAACATAATTTAGGGAAAGGAACCATTAGCCAACTTTCTAACAGTTTAATACAGAAAGGGGTAAATTTGGAAAAAAATACAAATAATATAAAAATTAAAAAGTAGGAGGCACAGGATAGACTCATCTCAGATACATACTCTGCCTTGGATACCCTATTTTAAGCTAAACAACTTTGGAGGTTTGGTTTTAGCCAGGAGGAGATAATCCCCAAGGAGCACAAAGGTGAGTTCCTGGAGTTTATGGGCTGCGCTGTTTTCTTGCCTGTTCCTTTCACAAACATCAGCTCTGTCTTTTCTTATCACTGCCAACTGTTGAAAGATTTCACCTCTCTAATGACTGTGAGCTAGTCAAGTCAGTGACTTGCTCAAATTTTAACCAACAACTAACGTCGGCGGCAAGGACTCACTGGTACATTTCCTTCAGCCACAAGAAGCACATCCTTTGCGAGATACTCATACGTGGGGAAAGTAGAGGGTTATCCTCTCAAGGCCCTGGATCTGCGATATCACATCATGAACCTAAGGGTATACACTTTCAACAGCCTAATCTCTTATTTTGCAATGTTGCAGTATAATAAAAAAGACACCAATACCTACCATATGAAAGTAAAGGAAATCAGGCAGGGACTACTGAAATCAGGCAACAGGTCCTAATAAACACAATCTATACTTGCAGGACACCCACTAAATCATGCTAAGAACCACACCTGTCTTGATCTGCTGATTACTGTCTGCAGGGATCTAAATAGCTACTTATAGGCAGCTAATGTTCTTCTCAGCTTTAGGCAGGAAGCTTATCCTTTTTCACAGCATTTATAGGGGGGGCAGGAAATGGGTAAATTAATAGAATCTGATAAATTTGAGGTGAAAACAGAAGTAATTTTCCTAACTTCCTTTCAAAGTTACCCATGAGAGGTGAGACATGGGAGGAACTGGAGAGAGAATAAAGAACCACTTATGGGTGAGAGAAGAAGGGAGCCAAACCCAACTTCTGAGATAGGCTGTTCCTTGGGATCTGACAGGTGCACTGCAGAAAAACGTTTCAATAAGGTCAAATACATTTGCTGGATTAAATAAGTTTCTTGAACAAGGAATTCCCCAGGGCCTTGAATAAGCTTGTGTGCACTGTGATTTGCTAAGGGTTGCCTAACATTTAACCATGGAATCTTGTTCTTAAAGTCCTCTCTCGCTTTGGGACTTACTGCCTCTTACTTTGGGAAATGCTTGCTGGGTAG